CATATGCATCATGCCTCCACGGGGCGGGTAGACACGCATAAGAGAGTGCGGCGGCGGAGCCATGCGCTGCGGGAGTCCAAGGTTGACGGCCCGCCGCCGCCCAAGCATGCGTGCCATGTTTTCGAGGAAGGTGCGAAGTTTTCACGCTGCTTCTACTGTCGCCGAGGCACACGCAACCCCGTCACCCGTGCGAAGTTGCAGGATGTGCTATGTCACGCCAGGACCACTCAGGAGATCTCCGCAGTAGAGTTTCACGGGGTGCCCTGCCCTCCGAAAGAAGGAGATGGCCCAACGGGCCAGGTGTGTGATGTGCCTCCTAGGGACTGTGGCGTGGCTGCTGAAGTGCCTTCCTCGTCGTCGCCACATCGCGACGACGACGGTGGTGACATCAGTGGCCCGACCTCCGTTGCCTCCCAGGACTTGCATGGGACTCTCAGGAACGGACAGGAGGGCAGGAAGCGACTGAATGAAGATATTGCAGGTGCTGCTGCCGCTCGAAGGAAGGTTGAATTCGATCACATCACGTACACCTCCTCGGCGGACAGAGCTGAGATGGAGAGGGCGGTTGCTCGAGTGGATCATGCAAGTCACTTAGGAAATCCGGGGGTGCCTGAGCGTGAGGGTCCCGCGTTCTTCCCGCCGACTAAGAGACGATGCAATGGACCAGGTAGGAACAATCGGCCCACGGAGGCTGAGTACGTGGCGCCTCTTGAGGCCATCCCGCGGATGGGGATCGTCCCAGCGCAGGCCTCAAGAGGCCACCGCCTTTGGGTTGCGCCTGGCCACTGTGTGTTATGCGGCTCCTGCGGATTTTATACCACGGGAACCGCGGGACACCTATTGCTCCAGTGCGATGTCAACCCCAGTTTTGTTTCTGAACGTGCTGCCCGAAACCGACGGTTGTTTCTCGCGGGATCTCACCCCGCTGACGAGGGACGGGTGGGTGGACGCGTTCTCCCTTCGGCCCCGAGGCCCTTGATGGCCTCCGATCCAGAGGTTTCCTGGGTGCGTCTAATCAGGGACGTGTCTCGGGAGGCCTAGGGCCTCGTTTCTTGCCTCGTGCGCAGCCGAGATCCATTGGTGGGCTGGCGCACGTCTTGATGGCAAAAGGGCGGGCAATCCTGCCTACCCATGGTTTAGTGCCGGCCTGTGCGACGCGCGGCCGCGTCCATCAGCGTCTTATCCTCTTCTTCTTCCTCCTCCTCCTCCTCGTCCTCGTCCTCCTTCTCCCTCTCCTCCGCCCCCTCCTCGTCCTCGTCCTGGTCGTCGTCGTTCTCCTCCTCGTCCTCCTGCTCCCTCTCTTCCTACGCCCTCCTCTTCTTCAGCATCTTTGCAACTCGAGTCCCCAGACGCCCTGCCGATGCGCTCGTCGGGTCAGGCCGTCAGCTGTGGCGATGGTAAGCGCCACGCTCGCGGAGCATCGGTCGGATAACGAGAAGGAGCAGGTGCTCGAGGCAAGGGAGGGAGTCGGGGAGGAGGAAAGCGAGGCAATGTAGGGAGGTGGAGAGGAGGGAGGGGGAGTGGGGCAAGCTAGGTGCGCTCGCGTCATGTCTGACGTCCTACCCCTCCCTCCCATCCCTTGCTATGGCATAGATCCCCTCTCTATTCGCACAGTCGGATGTCGTAGCGTGGCATAGCATTACATGGCATAACATGGTGCTGAAGATCAGCGCGTAGCATGACACAGCATGACGTGGCGACGCCCAAAACAGTGTGGGGGTCTGCGGCCCCAGAAATCGACGAATCGGCACCAAACGTGTAATCTTTTCCGATGTTTTTTTTCGGGGGGGGGGGGGGGCATGTTCTAGATTTTGGGGCCTATGTGGCAGGACCGAATACCATGCCGTGGCGTGGCACTGGAAATAATGACGTCAGCGCTGCAGCGGGAACATGATTCGGAACGAGCGGAAGCGCGGAAATGAGGCCAGCGCTGCAGCGGGAACATGCTTCGGAACGAGTGGAAGCGCGGAAATGAGGCCAGCGTTGCAGCGGGAGCAGGTTTCGGAACGAGTGGAAGCGCGAAGATGAGGCCAGCGCCTCAGCGGGGACAGCATTTTGAAAAGAAGCTCAAGCGAAAACCCAGTTCCCAGGAATCCTGTGGAAAAAAACGCGGAGGGGGCCGAATATCTTCAGGGGAGAGAGGAGAGTAGGGGAGAGAGGAGAGTAATCAGGGGAGAGAGGAGAGTAGTATTCATAGTGTGTAAGTGTGGAGGGGCGACAGGAGAGGCGGACCAGCTGGGTTGGGCGGGATGCCTGTCAGCTCGGTGGAGGAGGGGAAGGGGGGAGAGATCACCATCCTCCCCCTCGTCCTCCTTCTCCCTCCTCTTCCTCCCTCTCCCTCCCTTTTCCTTCCTTCCTTCCTTCCTTCCTTTCCTCCTCCCCCTCCCTCTCCCTCCTCTCCCTCCTCACCTCCCGCCTCCCCTCCCTTCTCGGGGGGAGGGGCGGAGCGGATGCGGACGGCGGCGGCGACGGCGGCGCGGAAGCACCGAGGAGAGACGGG